AAAGATCTTTCTCGTGTGTCCGTGAGGCTTTATGAGCAGGGGTGAGACCACGTAAAGTCCTTTCCTCGTAACTGAGTTTAGTTGCTTGGAGATGGCAACTTCCAACGCTGACCTGGTGACCGTAGAAAACCGTGTCAGATGGGATCTGAAGTTTCTTGCAAAAACCCCTTTCTTAGGCCCGACCTGGTCTGTAGCTCCAGAAAGAATTGTTGGAAAGGAAGTTTCTCTGAGATGGTACCATACTGAAGGCTGTCAGCTTTGCGAATAGGTGTTGTCTCTGCCCTTCGACTCCCCGCGCTCAGCCCTGCTGCGGCCAGGCTTGCTTCTTGCTGCGGGGGCGGAAGGTTGGGCGGCGGGGCCCGTGGGCTCCAGTCCGGGCTTCTGCAGGGGAAGGTTGGGGAGAGGCAGGTGGGCGCAGAGGGAGGGGCGTCAGGAGCTCCCGGGAGGGAACACGGGGGCCGCCTGTGCCACGCGCAGCTTTCCATACACTGAAACTTTTACCTCAACTTAAAAAAAAAGGAAAAAAAAAAAAAAAAAATCAAAAAAAAAAAAAAAAAAAGGAGACTTTTTTTGTAAGGTTCAATTTTCTACGAAAGTCCAGCCCCATGTGTGTCCCCAACCCGTGAGCTGCCGGTGCCGCACACTCTGGAGACCTTTCCCCGGTTTCGTGTATATAGGAACACTTTATTTATTAACATCATTGGTCGTTTTTTTTAAAAAAAGAAAAACAAAACTGCTAAAGAAATGCATTAAAAAAAAAAAAAAAAAGCAGACACGCACACACAGGCCTTTTATGTGGTTGGAAGGAGAGCCCCAGACCCTGCCCGGATGGCGGACTGTGACCTCCAGGTGCTGGCGTCCCGCCACCTGTGCCGGTGCTCAATCGCGCCTGCGCGCTCGCCCTTCCCCGCCGGCCCCGCGGCCCGTGTCTGTCTCCGTGTGCGCGCGCGGGGTCCAGACGCACAGGCACAGACAACTTCCAGCCGCAGCACATGCTCAGTCTTCGTTTTGTGTGTCGAGTTCTTTTGTACTCACTTCTGGTCTCTTTAGGACTGTTTTAAAAGAAATCAATTTAGGGAACCCCAGTTATATAATATAAACTTTGTAATCTGAAAGAAAAAAATGTATAGTAAATCTAAGTCTTGATTTTTAACTTTCTATTGTAAAAAAATAATAATAATAATATACAGAGTTTAACAGAAGGTTATGTTTTGGTTTTGTTTTTTTCCAGAGGCTGCCCTGCGGCCTTTGGGTACAGGGACACTGACCGCCTGAACTCAGAGCATTGTGGCTTCGGCCACGAGTCCTGGGGGCCGGCCGGCCAGTCCCCCTCCCCCCCACGGGGCACCCCTCACCTCCCAGCCCCGAGGGCAGGAGCAGTGGCCTGGCCAGGCTCTCCCCAGGGGCAGGAGGAGCCTCTGGCCCTCCCTCAGCCACAGGAGGCTTTGCTCCCAGAAGACCACTCCAGGCTCCCTGCTCAAGCATTTTCCCGTTAGCACAGAAATGACTGAGATAGGGCCTTCTCCCAGACCTTCCTGGGAGGACTTCCTGGAGGTGGGTGCTGGGGGCAGAGCTGGCCTTGGGTCTGGTGGTGAGTTTCCAGGTGGACGGGGGGAACTGGTCATCGGTGTCCAAGTAGGGGGCGCAGTCTTTACAAATTCTTAAAATGAAATCAGGTTCCCCCGGCCCTTAACGGTCACAGGTGCCCTTGCTGGACGTGGAACTGATGAGGCGGTCGGTGGGTGGCGGGTTACCATGTTTCTTATCTGCTGGTGATTCTGACGCTTGGTGAGTTTTGAGCCAGTTTGTTAAACTTTTCATTAAGTTTTGTTTATAATAAAAATATATGTGGATTTTTCAACTTGCCATTTTTTAGAGTTACCCTTGTGTTTCAAAGATGTTTTTCTAAGCAGATCTGTAACAGAATATTTAAACTAGGACTTTAATACGTGACACGATGGACGGCAAAGCGGGCTCTCGCTGGCCACGGGCAGCAAGCATGCCTCCCCGAGCAGGGGGTGCCGGGCCATGCGTGGGGGGCTCCTGGGGAGCACCTGTCCGGCTGCGGGCGTAGTGGGGGCGGTCACCTGCGTGAGCCCGGCACAGTGGAAGCATTTCAGATCGCTTCACTGTCCGCTGGCTCTGCGGGAGACATGGGTTCCAGAACAACTCTGCCCCTCTCCCCTGCCCCTAGTGAGGCCACCGGCCACCACGGCGCAGAGGGCTGCCGGCTGTCGGAGCAGTGTAGTTCGATGGTGCTGGTTTCTTAGGGCTTTCTGTGCAGGCTTCAAAGCCGATGTCTCTTCCGAGTTCAGGTGAACGTCCTCAGTCCCCTCGAGGTCAGCCTGTGGGCCTTTGCCGTCTCCACGTCTCTGTGCTGGGGAGACCGCAGTCGGACAGGCCGGGCTCTTGAGGCACGGAGAACCCGAGGGCGGCTTTCACGGCCTCTTCCCGAGGGAGAAGGAACCGTGCGGTTAGCAGGCTGGTCTCATGGGAGCCCCAGAGGCCCAGGGGACAGAGACTCCTGCTCGAGATGGGCGGTGTCATCTTGCGTACAAACTGTAAGATATGTTTTCTTTTCGTTTCTCTTTTTGTTCTTAAGCAACATCACGTCTGTGACAGCTCTCTGGGGAAACACCCCCTGGAGAAAGGATGCGTTCCCCCCAAGTGTAGCCTGTCCCTCAATACTGACATCACGCTTCCAGAAGTTTTTCTTTTTTATATTTAAAATGTTACTTTTCTGTATGATGTGCATGCAAGTTTACGGTAACTTTTCTTACTTTTTAGTGCCGTTTCTAGTATATTCCTGTAAATGTCAGTTACTGAAAATTGAGTCCAATGTAAGTAGTTTTAGCTCGTTTATTGCAATGCTGGCCTCAACACAACAGAATAAAAATGGTAGAAAGTACTCTTTGATGTTTCTGGTAATCATAGACCCTTCTCCTGGGGCATTTGTTTTGTTTTCATAATAAAACCAAAAAAAAAAAAAAAAGGGGCCCGTGTGTGCCTTTGCTTGTGCTTTCGGGCGGCTCCCGGCCTCGCAGACGCGCGTGTGGAGGTGTCGCGAAGGCCGCCCGCTGCCCTCAGGGGTTCCTCGTGGCTCACACCCTGGGACGTTCAGCCGCTGAAGCAGCCGAGCTCCTCAGCCTGGGCAGGAGGGCACCAGGATTTGGGGGACATCACCGTAGCCTTTCTCTTCCCCTGAATGGCCTCTAGAACAAGCAGCCGTCTTTGTAGAAGCACAGCCTAGGTCACACTGGGTCTCACTCGCTGTTCCCTCCTCCCTGTGCAGATGCCTCCCCTGGCACTCCGGCTGCGTGGGGGTTGGTTGCAGGGCGGGTTGCCGGCGGCAGGCAGCAGACACTGTCCTGCGGGCACAGTCGCCTGTCTGCTGGAGTTTTCCAGCACTCCGTAGAGCCCAGCAGAGGAGAGGCTTCTGCAAGGAATGGACGGCAGATGGGTGCTCTGATACTGTTTTTTGAGCAGTCGTGGCTGTTAGCGCCTGTCTCGACAGCACCCTCCCTCCCACCCCCCGGCTGTCAGCAGGCGCACCCTTCCAGCATCCTCTTAGCACGTGCCATCCTTGTCCGGACTCTTACCCCCTTTCATCTAGGCTGACCTCCCTAAGGACGGGGACTGGGCTGTGTCCACCTCCGTGGCCCCAGTCCCGGCCTGGGAAACCAGCCGCAGGGCTTCCTTCCAACAGATGGTGGCTTCCTATGCTCTAAGCAGCTTAGCGCCTGCTGTCCTATGGATGGCCGCTGCATGTCGGTCCCCTGCACACCCTGATCTGTGCAGACACTGGCCGTGGCCAGTGCGGTCTTCCCAGGTGCTCTCCATGCCTGGGGTCGGAGTAACCAGCACCTGTTCTCAGGGTGATCTGAGGCGCGCACCAGTGGCAGGGGCACTCCAGACGAGTCTGCAGTTTGCTTTCTTCCCGAGCAGGACTTACTGAACTGCAAGGACGTCGCGCGAACAGTCTCCTGGGTAATCCCAGTGTCAGGGCGGCCAGACGCAGGCAGGTCTTACTCGGTGGAGACGGGGCAAGCTTTCCTCTTCAACACCAGGAGGAGACTCGGAAAACGTGACTTCAAACCTCCCGACCCATGCAGCGGGAAAGCCTAGGGTCCATGGCTAAGACCAGGCCTCTGGCTGGACATTCGGGGAGCGAACTCTGACCCAGCAGTTCCGCTTCCAGGAGGCTTGCTAAGGAACTTGCACACCCACAAAAAGAACCAGGTCCGACGAAGCCCGGGACACGCTGTGTGTAGGGCGGCCACGGGAGCATCTCGTGAGCTCATGGGAGTGCTGCCAGTCAGACATTCAAAGCATGACGTAGATGTCCGTCTGGACAGCTGGGCAAGGAGAAACCCGCAGGACGAGATGCGCAGTGCCGGCCGTGCCTTTAGAACCCTGCACGACGGCATGCGCAGAGCTGCTGCTCACGGCTGCCTGCGGGGGACGCTCCTGTTCTTCATGGATTTCTGTAACGGGGTTTGTAGCAATCGTGAGATTCTCCTGTTGCAAAAACCTAACCTAAAGCCAACTTACGGTATTATGAACGAACAGATAAGAGTGAAGAAGGAAGGAGTCCCCCAAAGCATATTTATTTAGAAAAATCGGCTTTGACAAAAGATATCCCCACATTTGCAGAGCCGCGCAGACGTCCCTTACAGCCGAAGGCCAGTCCATTGCAAATGCCAAACGGTCCACGTGGGGCCGCCGCAGGGCTGACCGGCCGCCGCCTCTCTGCACGGGGCTGCGAGATCCTGTCAGAAATCTCTGTAAGCAGCTGATGTGAAACTTGGAAATACATCTTGGTTTCCGAACTGTTTTTTGGATGCCTTCGCATGCTTGCCCCCAAGTGTGGAAGCTGGCATAGAAGCTTCTAGAAGCTACTGCAGTGCATCGCACACAATTCCTGTTTTCATCGTCGAAGGCCCTGCTACGAGGCTGCTGCTGGCCCCTTACTCCCACCCGGCCCCGCCCGCTGCGCTTGGCCATACCTGACGCTGGTTCCTTCATCTTTTTTGGTCTGTCCTGTTCTTGACCAGGCAGAAGGCAATCCTGGAGACGACCTAGAAAGTTCTGAAAAGGTCTGGAGCCAGGGTTGTCCGTCTTGCTTGGGCCTCTTGGAAACATAAGAGAAAAGCCACATCTAGCTGTGTCCCCACCCGGGCCTTGTCCCCAGTGCTGGCAGGGCTGCCACTGAGCCCGGGAGCCAGGTCCGCTGCTCGCGTGGTATGTGGAGAGGCCTCAGGAGCCCCTGCGAGCATTCTTGGGTTCTGGAAGCACAAGTGGGTCTCCTTGTTCACTGTCCAGAACCTCCCAGTAAGGCCTGGGGACCACCAAGGCCACTCACTGAGTGCAGCACGGCCTGATCTCCGCCCAGCTCAGCGCCTGGGCCCAGGGCGTCCCACAGAAACTACATGATGGTACAGAACTTGGATCGGCCTGTGTCCCGAGAGACTCCGAGCTTGTGTCTGTCCCGGACCAGGATGGCCTCGTTTCCGTACTGTGAGTACCACATGCTACGGCTCCTGCTCAGGTAGGTCCCGGGGGGTCCCGATTCCAGCTGTTGTTGCTGCTGCTGCCAGATGAGCAAGGACACGTCCCGGTACCGCAGCCGGGCGTAGCTTTCGGACAGAGCTTTCTCTGCCAGCGGCACACGGCCGCTCATCACTGGTCGGCAGCTCCCCACTCCTGGGTGCCTGCGCGCCAGGCCTCTCTGAGCCAGTCGTCGGCGTGGACGGCCGCACACTGCTCACTATGGACACTCACCAGCCGCCTTGTGAGCTGCTGGGGCTGAGGACCCCTTATTTAACTCAGTGCTAAAAACTACGGACTCAGGCCAGGTGTAGGCAACACCTTCAGGAGCGCGGCATTGCAAGGGAAGTGGAGAGGAGCCTAGGGCGCCGTGGAGTCATCCAAGGACCCCTGAGCAGTGCAGTGGCACCCTGGTCCCCGCTTTATCAGACGAGCGGCTGCCAAGGGCGAGATTCCCACCCGGGGGCCCCTGGCCAGGTGTGGGCTGTGATTCCAACACCACAGCCCGGCCCACTCAACTGGAACCAATGCATCTGGTGCCCTGAATGCAAGGACATCGCACAGCTGGACAGATGTTGACCTCTGTCTCCATAACTGCCCGCTCAGATGCAAGCCTCCGTCGGCTTCCGGCACCACGAGGCCGCTCTGATGGAGCCAGCGTCCGTTCAGTCCTGCGTCCTCCGCGCTCACCCAGCTGACGCTACAAAGAAATGAACACGCTGTCAGGTGCGGGGAGACGGCCCAGCAGCGAGGGGAGGCTTTGCGCGCCCAGTCTCGGCTCTTTGGGGATCACAGCCTCCAGCCAAGCTACTAGCACCTGGCACAACCTCCCCTGCTGTCCCGCGACCCAGACTGTGAGCCTGCGTTTAAGAGGCAGACCTGTGACCCCTCCCAGTGCCTTTATGGACGAACGGGGGTCCTGGGGGAGCCGTCTGTGGGCGCGCCAGTGTCGAGATCTAGGAAATGAAGTCCCAAGAACCTGAGCGGGCGCAGGTTTCGGGACCGGCCCAGCAAGCGCCCGGCGGGAGAGCGGGTTTGCTGAGGCTGCTGAAGGGGGCTCAGGACTCACCGGGCCACCAGGGCCCTTTCTGCTTCAGGCAGCCAGAGGCCCCTGGGCGGACAGGGGGAATGGACAGGAAATGATGCGGAAACCAAGCACGAAGCATCCACTAACCACCCCCCATGCTTTCCCAGGCTGCAGGATTTCTGCACGCCCCGTGCTCTGGTCACGCAGCCGCCGGTGGCTGCCACAGGTTCTCCCCAAGTCGCCGGGCCTGAGCCCAGGAGCCCGTCGGGGCACCTCTGGGTCCTCCACCTACGGCCGCCTCGTGCCCGCGCTCTCCCTGTCACCCTGCCCACGTCTCCCATCGCCACCTGCGCCCATCGCCTCGCGCCCCAGTCCCCGCGCCCCCGTCGCAGACCCACTCCCCCCACCGCCGCCCTCTCCCGCTGCCTCCCGCGCTCCAGGGCCTCCCGTCCCCCCACGCCCCTCACCGCCGCCGCCCCCCCACCGCCCTCCCTCTCCTCCGTCTCCCGCCCCCTCATCTCCGTCGCCCCCATCGCCTCCGCCCCCGCCTCCCGCCCCCAGCCGCACGCCGGCGCCCAGTCACCCGCGCGGAGGGGCCTCGGGGGGCCTCGGGGACGCGCCGGCGGCGGGGCGGGGCGGGGCGGGGGCCGCGTTTCCATGGCAGCGCCGCAGGCATGCACAGCCGAGCGCCGAGCAGGCAGGCGGGCGACACGATCCCGGGGCGCCGGAGCGGCCGCGTCCCCGCCCCGCCCCGACCGCGGTTTCGCCCTCCCGCGGGCGGCTTCGGCCGCGCTGCAGCTTCTGCTCCCCGCGTCCGCGCTCCCAGTAACCCGCAGGCCTCGGAACACGATGGTGCGGGAGGGGCCGGCGGGCGGGGGTGTCGGGGCACCGGACGGGCACTGGCGTCGCGGGCCGTGATCAATCACCGAGTCCGTCTACAGAAAGTAGCGGAGGAACAATCACGTTCGTCCCTTCGGGCTCTCGAAATGACGTCCTGGGCCCCCGTCCCCCCGCTGTCCCCGAGGGCGCCGCGCCCTCCCGGCTCGCCAGTAGCGCCCTCCCGGGGCCTCCGCGCTGCCCTCGCCGGCTGATGCGCCGACGCGAAAGACGGTCGGGAAGCGGGTCCACGGGCGCTGCCCCTGCCCGCGCTGCCCTCGCGCCCGCCGGAGCACCCCGCCCCCCGCACACGCAGGTCTGCGCCCGCCCGGCCAGCGCGGCCTGCACCCGCGCGGACGTTCAGCAAACGGCGGGTCCGGGAGTCAGACCCCGGCAAGGCCGGCCCACGCGCGGCGGGGAAGCGTGACCGCGGGGAAGCGGCCGCTTGTCATCGCGAAGAGACGTGTTTCTAGGTTTCTCTTGGGCCAAGGAGGGACGCAACGGAACGCGGGTGAAAATGCAGGAGCGCGTGGGCTGCTCCGACGCGGCGCGGGCAAGGACACCCGGGCGGCGCGCACCGGGGTGCGGAAACTCCCAGCTGTTTGCAGCCGCTCGGCCACGCTCAAACTTTCCTGAATTAAACGTTTATTCTAAAAGTGGAAGAAACGTTAACGAACTGGAGTTAAAAAATAAACAGGCGAAAAGGACGGTCACAGAGATGAGAGGAAATTGGCAGTCTTGTGTCATTGATAAGGGACGTAGGGCCCAGGTGGAGGACAGAAGTCCCACCAGTGAGCGGCCGGGAGAGGAGTTAACAGAAGGGGTCCTCGGGAGGCGCAGAGTGGTCAACGAGGTAACGTCTGGAGGGCCCCCTAAGTTCCAACTGCCGGAAGCAACTAGGGCCTCAAAGCTCAAGGAGCAAAGGGGGGTCCTATTACTGAAAGAAATAGGGAGACTCTACGAGAGCTTGGGAGCTCGGAGGAGGCGGAGCGTGGAGCTGAAACGCAGACTTCTGGGGAGGGAGCACCAGCAGCTTGAGCTGGTGTCTGCGCTGACAGCCCTAGCAGCCCAGGCACAGACCCCAGGGAAGGGACGCCAGCCAGCAGCTGCCTCCGAGTGGAGGAAACATGGTAAAGTGGATTTTGTGCTTGGGAAAACCAAGACTGGATGCAGCAGCTGCTTCAGGAAAAACAAAACAAACCCATGAAGAATCTTTGCTGGGGGCGTGCACGCTGGCAAGAAGCCCAGAGGAAGCAGAGAGGAAGGAGCACACTTGCCTCCGTCCTCCCGTTCCCAGTCTGTCTCCCAGAGCTTACCAGGAAGACGCTGGCAAAGGGGGAAATGAGGTTTGCAGAGTCCTGGTGGGAGCATCACAAAGCAGAGTGGAAAGGATGTTTGGATCACGTTTAACATAAGGGCTGCAGGTGACAGGCCAAAACTTGCAGACGGGTGTAGTCCCGCCCTTTGTTCCTTCAGCTGCTGTACACACATTCTATGCATAGTGGAACTCCATACAACAGAAGCAAAACCCCCAAACCTAGCTCTACTAAGAGCCTGAGATGATGCCACTCTCTTTCATACTAGAGTGAGACAGTCTGGCCCCTGCCCATTTGGAGGAGATACAATGTCCCAACAGATCTTTCGGTTGGGTCTCCTTCCCTCTGAATATCCTCCCTGAAACAAAGTTGCAAAGTTCACTTCCAACAATAGATCCTGAAAATAACAAGGGGCATGAGCCGGTTAGGGGGAGGGGAGAGAAGCATGGAGAGCTGTCACCTGCTTGGTGCTGCACCGTCTTTGTCCAAGACTGCTCTGCCCTCAGCAGCATCTCAGCTAGGCGAGGTTTCTTTAACTACTGGGCGACTTACACCTTCATTCCCAAAGGGCATGAACCTTTAACGTTCTTACTTATTTATTTTGTGGTAGCTTTCTATTAACTTTTACTTTGGGCGGCAGAAATGCTTAACTGCTGGCGTGCCTGGGGGGTTCAGTGGGTTAAGTCCTGGGATCGAGCCCCACATCGGGCTCTCTGCTCAGTGGGGAGCCTGTTTCCCCCCTCTCTCTGCCTGCCTCTCTGCCTGCTTGTGATCTCTGTCAAATGAATAAATAAAATCTTTAAAAAAAAAAAAAAGCACAGTGAAGCCTTATTAGAGGTCAGAGGAGCACTGCCCTTTGTGCCCTTTGGGTCCTGGAGACCAGCAGTGTGGCCGTGGGGGGACAGCTCCTTGTGTCTGTCTCTGGTTCAAAGCACACACCTGAATCTGTGAACGGGGACCTCAAACTTCCATGGCGTTGCTCCCAAGTGGTGCTCTAACCGTGTCCTTGGTGGGCCACCCTGCTCATTAGTAGGCGGGCACTTCTGGGGGGTGGAGTGTAGGTGCGACCAGTGAATTCCACGAGCGCGAGCCCACTATTTGGCCTTCTTCTGTTCAGGAATGAGCTCAGGAGCGCTGTTGTGTGGGAAACATGATGGCCAGCAAGGCCCTGCCCAGCTCCACGGATAAGGACAGTTGTGCTGGCAGGAGAATGAACGGCAGCAAAAGCCAATCCACATCGGGAATCAGTATCTATTCCAGCGAGACGGATGGAACTCCTGTCCCCTCCACGATAGACCGGTCCAGTGTAGTAAGCCTGTCACCGCTTGGCTGGCTGGCCCTGTGTAATGGCTTCATAAGGAGGGTCCCGCGCTGACCTTGGCTATTGGCGGATGAGCACCTCCCCCCCCGCAGTGGCACTGCGCAGATCAGCTCTGGTGGTGGAGGTCGGTGGCGTGGTCTCAGCTGCACCTCCATCCCTCCCGCTGTTGCACATCTCACGTCCAGGATATGGAACGAGCTCCTGCGATTTAATAAGAAAAGGAGATGAGCCAACAGTTTAAAAAAAAAAAAAGTAATCAAGAAAATCCAAATTAAGGGGTGCCCGGCTGGCTCAGTCAGTGGAGCGTGACTCTCGATCTCGGGGTTGTGAGTTTGAGCCCGACGTTGGGTGGAGAGATGACTTAAAAATAAAATCTTAAAAAAAAAAGAAGAAGAAGAAGAAGAAGAAGAAATCCAAATGAAGATCACAGTGTGAAACCACCCGTATCCACAGGAATGTCTAAGAGCAAATGCGACTGACCCATTCGCGTGCCGGTGACGCCAGCGGCGTGGACAGCGCGAGTGACCCACACTGCCTGTGCGCACCGACACAACCCTGGGGTCCGGGAACTGCCATCCAGCCGTTCCACTCCCGGGGGCCCACCCAGGGAAGCCGCGGGCATCTGTGCCCACCAGGAAGTTTGCGCACAGCAGCCG